GGTTACATGGAGGGTTTATCAAGGGGTCCAAGAAAACTTCGGGGGAGTGAGATATATTTGTTCTCTTGGTGTGGTGACATCCATATATCCAAACTTACCAACCTGTGTAAAAGTGTGTAGTTAATTTATTGTATGTCAATTACACCTCAATTAAGCTGTTTTACTTATTTATTTATTTATTTTGTCATGCAGCTTGTGGGATCTTAGTTCCCTGACCAGGGAGAGAGGCTGGGCCCTCAGCAGTGAAAGGGCTGGAACCACTGGAGTTCCAGGGAATTCCCTAAAGCTATTTGAATAAAAGCTGTTTAAGCTGTTTTGAAAGAAAGAAAGAGAGAGATGAAGGAAAGGAGGGAAGGGAAGGAAGGAAGGCGAGAGGAAGGAAGGAAGAAGAAATTTAGGGATGTTAATCTGGCAGAAAATGTGGGGCAGGAGGGGATGGCAGTGTCCGTTTATCTCCTCCTGTGTAACAAATGACCCCCAAATTTAGTGGCTTACAACAACCACCGTGTTATTATCTTTCACAATTTTGTGAATCTGGAATTCAGATTGGCTCAGTGGGGTGAAGCCCAGTGGCACCAACTGGGTGGTATTCAGACTGGGATGGTCTAGGCGATCCAGGGTGGCTTCTGCCACATGCCTGGCACCTCGGGGCGGGGGGCGGCAGGGAGGCTGGGCTCCGGTGGCCCCCCTCTCTGTCCACGGTGATTCAGGGACCCTCCGTGTGGTCTCTTCCCCTTGGCTTCCTGTTCCGAGCCACTATGGAGACCAAGGTGGAAGCAGTCAGTTCTTCTGGAGACGGGGCCAGGAACAGGCATAACATCCCTCTGCCATACTCTGGATTGGCTGAAATAGCCAGGTGCCAGCCCAGACTCTAGGGGAGGGGCAACAGACCCCATCTCTCAGGGAAAGCCATGAGTTGGAACAGTCAGGTCAGGCCGAAGACTTACTGGGGCCTAAGCAGTTGAGTCGGGTATCTATGGGTGGTGGGAGGCCCTTGTGTGGAAGACTTACAGAAAGGGAGATTTGAGACAGGGCAGAGAGGTCGCTTCCTGGTGGCTCAGTGGTAAAGAAGGTGCCTGCCAACACAGGAGACTCGGATTGGATTCCTGGGTCGGGAAGGTCCCCTGGAGAAGGAAATGGCAACCCACTCCAGTGTCCTTGCCTGGGAAATCCCAGGCAGTCTGTGGGGTTGTAAGAGAGTGGGATGTGACTTAGTGACTAAACAACAACAGAGAGGTCCCCGGCCATCAGGTTGAGCAGTCTGACTTCTTTAGGTAAAAGGGAGCCCTTTCAGCTACAAAATTTGAGACTCTGGAATAAGAGGCTGGTCAGGCTTAACTGTGTATTGATTTATGTATCTTTTGATTTTCTGCTATATTTATTTAAAAAACAACTTTTACAGTTTTTGCCCCCCCCACTATGAAAGACACACATTTCATTTCATTAAACATAGGATGAGAGCTTAGCTTAAACCTGGTGGGCCACATGCAGCCACTGCGGGGTCTTGAGCTGGGAGTGACAGGAGGCAAGACCACATCTCTATTATGGAGGGGAAGAAGGACACGATTGGTGATCTGAAATGCTGAGATCCAGGGGAGGGTAGTGATTAGGCAAAGACAAATTTAAGGGGTAGGCAGGCAGTTTGTAAACCCCTCTACTGAATAAACATAATGAAAACAAAAAGGTAATATTTAACTGTGTGCTTGAGCACTTACATGTATTTCATATTATACTAAGCACTGTATATTCAGCAGCTCATTTAACCCTGATGGGCTAAGTCCTTGGCCCAGTCCTGCTATAAGCATGAGTAATCAGAGGCACAGAGAGGTTAAGTAACTTGCCCAAGATCACACAGAGTGTTGAGCTGGGAGATAAGCCTGATTGGGCTCTGGAGTACCTTTAACCATCCAAGCTGGATACTGACTCTTCAAGCTTCTTTACTGTAGTCTATAAAGGTCTAGGTGACTAGAGCTTATATATTCTCTGACTTGTTGCTATTCTGGACTCTGGGCTGTTAAAAACAGCTGATGCAAAAAAAATTAAAAAATTAAAATTAAAAAAAAAAAAAGCAGCCAGTGCATGCTAAGTCACTTCAGTCGTGTCCGACTCTTTGCGACCCTATGGACTCATAGCCCACCAGGCTCCTCAGTCCGTGGGGATTCTCCAGGTAAGAATACTGGAGTGGGTTGCCATGCCCTCCTCATTATAATGACTCCAAGGCCAGAGTCAGGGAAGAGTTAAGAGTTGGCCAGGTGTGTTGAACTCCATTCCCCTTCAACTGGCAGGATGCAGACAAAGATTCAAGGGTAGTCTCTTTGGCTGGTAACACTTCCCCTTGCCCCCAGTCGTTCCCCCCCACCATCCCCCAGTGGATTAAAAGAGTTATTATGATATAAAGGTTTTTTTTTAATATTCAAAAAGAATATTCTAGTGATTCATGTATTTTAAAATTATGTGAATGTACCCTGAGGATGATGATGAAAGATGCAATTTTACATCAAAACAAGCTGGTACATCAAATATTTAATGAAAGGATCAGATGCAAAAAACAGATGCAGTCGCTCTGATGGATGGAAATGTGGTGGAACCCCAACCCCAGGCCTGAGAGAGCAGCAGGGGCCACTGTCCTCTTTGAAAAGAAAATATGGTTACAGATGAATTCAAGAAAGAATGCAAATTTACTGCTTACATAATTTTAGGGCTTTTTTAAGAAGTAGTTCCTTATTAAAATACAAATGATTTTCAGGTTTCAGAAAGATGTTTACATATTCCCTTTCTAATTTAGGCAAAACTGGATGACTGCTTGTTCCTCTCTTGCTAAGAAAGGGTGTTTATTAGCTAGGATGGCAATGAAAAATTTAATACTAGTTTATAGCAGGGGACTGTCTTTGACCTTTCATCTGGATATACAGCTCCCGTTCCTCTCATGGATAAGCTACAGCCTTATTAAAATCTCTTCCTAATTTGGTCTTCATCACTACATCATATTGAAAAAAAATCATAACTGTATTTCTCTACAATTGGGATTGAATCAATTGCTTTAAAAATTTCCCTCTTCCCAAGATATGGTGAATTAAGTCTTAATGGAAATTAGAAAAGTGCTAATTTAACAGTTTACACTGCAGCCCTGCTTCCTGGCAATGTCCTGTCAATTCACCAAAGGAAAGAAAGGGAAGCTACTTCCAGAGGAGAAATCAACATCTTTTTCCTCCTTCTCTTTCTTTTTGCCTTATTCTGAGCAATTGTCCCCAGGAAACTAACCCACCCGCTGCTGTGGAGTTTGATTCCTCTTTCTGGAGTTACAGTCTTCCTGCTTCTTGGAGATGTCTCAGCTGACTTTCCATCTCTGCCATCCACTTGCAAGATATTTAGAGTCATAGGACCAGAAGAGCTGCTAATTCTCCCCTCCCCCTCTCTGGTCATCTTTTTTTTTTTTTTAAACCTTTTTAGATGCTGGTGGGTGGGGCCAATCAAGAGGGAGACAGCAGGTCTGGCCCATCCCTTTTTTGACCCTCTGGGGCCATCTTCCTTCTGGCAATTCTCTTCCCCCATCTGTTTTCCTCTTGTTTTTGTTTAAAAAAAAAAGAAATTAAAGACAATCAAAGAAAGGAAAAGAAACAAAAACCACGGAATACATCCATACCTCTGTTGAAGCAAGGCCAGTGTGGTACAAAATTCTGTAGGAAAATTCATGTGCCAGCATGTATGTGTTTATTCTCAGGTCTCAAACTGGAAGAAACTTGTGTTGGCATGAAAAACCCCTAATATTTATTACATTTTTATATTGGAGTATAGCTGATGCACAATGTTATTTCTAATATTCAAAGCATAAAATGTTTACTTCTCTTTCATTGGTCAAACAAGGAAATCTGTCCCCCCTCCTCTGTTTTATTGAGATATAACTGATGTGTTCTGGGTTTATTTGATATTAATTTTTGCACTCCTCCCACATTTGGGTGAATGTTCACTCAGCTCAGATTTGCTCCAGGTGCCAAGGAGACAGCGGCTGAAGACTAGGTCTGCTGGCTTGTCCTAGAATTCTTCCCATCTCAGAGCAGCACCAGGCCCCACAATGGCTTTGTCCCATGAGGGTGGTGTTTCTGCAGCATGGGGCCTTCAGCATGTTAAGAGTTCCTTCCAGGTTGATCTTTCCCTGCAAATCTCTGTGAAATCTGGTGAGCTGCAAATGTGTATGTAGTGCTTTTTCTTTTATATTTCACATTTATGATACAAGCATGGGTGTTTAGCTTGGGCACCAAGCTATTATTATTTTTTGAACTTAGTTTATAGCCAGTGTAATTCTGCACAGATCTTAAATGGCAGATCCAGAAGTTTTGACAAATGTACACACAAATGCCCCTTCGGCTTCATTTCCCCAGAAGGTTCTCTCCTATCCCCTTCCCCAGTCACTACTCCCTCACCCTCGGGGGTTCTTTTCCTATCCTCAAAGCTTAGTTATGCCTTCTAGAATTTTCCGTATATGGAATCACACAGTATGAACTTTGTGTTTGGTTCCTTTCTTCTAACATGATGTTTTTTTGAGATTCATCCAGGTTGTTTGTAGAAGTGGGACCCAAGCTGTCACTCACAGCTTGATGCTGTTAAAACTGGGACAATCGGTCCACCCGATGGCCTCCACACCATATACCCTCTAAATGGTACTATTTGGCCCTCTCCACTCCACCAAGTCAGTCTCTCTCCAGGGCCCAGCGAGTTCCTCTCCCAGAACCGCCCAGGCAGCCTCGGGCAGCACCCAGATGGCCGCGGGGCCATCACCGGGAACCTCCCCCGAACAGCTGCCCTCTGCCCCCTATCTCTCCCTGCCCCCCCCCCCNCAAAGCTGAGAAAGGGGGGACGCGCGCGCGTGCACGCACGCAGCCCGAATCGCGGAGTTGTTCAAAGCCCCGGGCGGCCAGGGCGCACAGCGCGAGCCAAGCCCGGTAGGCGCAACGCTGCCGGGGCCACCCGAGTCTCTCTCGGCGACTGGTTTCAGAAAGAAGATGACGCGGGCGCGGGCCGGCGGCGTTGACCACGCGGCTCCTGATCTCACCGCGCTGGGCCGTTGCCGGTTCCACTGATTCCGGCGCGCCTCGGTGGAGGTTCCGTCCCCGCGGCTCGAGATCGGAGGGGGGGACCAAGGCGAGGGCGAAATGGCCCGATGACAAAGGAAATGTGATCCCCCTTCGCTGCCAAGGTTTCAGAGAGGACGGACGCGAGGAGGAGGAGGAGGGGCGCGGGGCGCGCGCAGAGCTCGGATAGCATTGCACGACGGCTCGCGCGGAGCGGGCAGCGGGTACATCTAATATCTTCCTGCCGATGAATAATTCACGACGGCCCGCGGGGACCTGCGGCCCTGCGCAGCGGCGCGGCTAAACCGGAGGAGAAGGAGCGCGTGGGAGGCGCCCAGGCCCTGCAAGGCCGGGGCAAGAGGGCCCCGGGCCGCGTGGGGCGCGCGTGCGTGTTAAGCGCCGGCAGCTCGGCGGGGCTCGGCGGGCGCGCGGGAGACTCGAGGCGCGTGGGGCGCGCGTGCGTACTACCCGCGTGCGGCCGCGGCGGGCCCCACTAGCTGCAGCTGCGGCGGGGCTCACCGCCCTTGCAGAGAGGCCGCGCCCGGCCGTGCGCAAGCCCGGAGCGCCGCACGCCGGGCCACCCAGGAGCCCCTGGCCGCCGCGTCATGCGGTGGGGCGGCTGGCGTCGCGCGGGGGGACACGGGCTCGGCGTCGCGCCGCTCCCGCCTTTACTAGTTTGGGGAGCCTTCCTGTCCCAAGAAGAGACTAAATCCATTTAAAGAAAAGCCCACGCACCAAATACTCGTCGAACCAAATTCTGCCTCTCCTGCCGGGACTGGGATTGCACAGCGGACTTGACTTGGGGGTGGGGGACAATTCCCCTTGGCTGGCGAGAAGCTAAGCTGCAGCTGCTCCAGGAGTCCTCTGACCTCCCTGCCCCCGCTCGCCCCTCGCGTGTCAGGACTTGTTCCGGCGCTCCCGCCTCGGGAGGCGCGCGGCTCCCGCGTCCTCCTCCGGGAGGAATCCTTGTCGCCTCTGGAAAGTGGCATTTAATGCCCGCTGCGTCGCGGGTGGCAGCGCGCGGGTCGGGCGCGGCGAGGCCGAGGCGGCCGCGCCGTTCTGGTGCCGGCTCCCGTGCGTAGGCCTAATCGATGCCTTTTTTCTGAGTGAGTCGGCGGCTCCCCCACCCACCTCGTCCGCGCTCTCCTCCTCCTCTTCCTCTCTGGTCTCCTCCCTCCTCCGGGCCTGGTTGCAAATGGCTTCGTTCCCCGAGACCGACTTCCAGATCTGCCTGCTTTGCAAGGAGATGTGCGGCTCGCCGGCGCCGCTCTCCTCCAGCTCGTCGGCATCGTCGTCATCCTCGCAGACGTCCACGTCGTCGGGGGGCGGCGGCGGGGGCCCCGGGGCCGCGGCGCGCCGCCTGCACGTCCTGCCCTGCCTGCACGCCTTCTGCCGCCCGTGCCTCGAGGCGCACCGGCTGCCGGNGCCGCTGCGGCGGCGCAACAGCTCGGGCTCGGGCCGCCCTTCCCAGGCGCTCCCTTCTCCCTCCTCTCCGTCTTCCCCGAGCGCCTCGGCTTCTGCCAGCACCACGACGACGAGGTGAGTGCGGGGACCGCACCCGCGGGGGGACTGCGGCCCGGCGGCGTGGGCAGCGGGTCTGGGCCCCAGGGGCGCTGCGCGGCTGGTCGCAGGGGTCTCCGGGCAGGTCCCCGACGGAGGGAGGGAGTCCTCTCCCCCTTCCGGATTTCTCCGGTTTTCTTTTTGACTACGTGGCAGTCACTGCCTTTGAGCCGACGACCCTGTGTGTGTGCGGAGAAGAGCTGGCTTCTGTGTGCGGGCCGCCGAGGGTCCCAGAACGCGAACGCCTCCTCCCCCCGCTTCCATATCTAATTTTCTGCTGGCCGAACGTGGTAACCGCTGTCTCCAGTTATAGGCAGGAGCTGGGGTAACACAGATGTGTGTGCCTGTGTAGACCTGGCCTCCGTGGGCGACGGTGCCTACTCTGCTCCCCCAGACAGCTTCCGAGGTTGGAGATACCCCCTTCTTGAGAGACTTTGCTTTCCTCGTTTCTGTTTGACAAAACGGGCAGGCTATTGTTTTAAGTAAGACATGGGATGCAGGCGTGTGTGAGTCTGTGAGTGAGTGTCTCTGTGCGTAGATGTGGTCTTGTGGGGGTACACCAGGGTCTTCCCAGCATACTGAGGGCTCCCGTTTAGGTTTTTTCCCCACTTTAGTTTTGTTGGTTTGAAGTTCATCGATGGTTGCTTTTAAGTAAGGCATTGGCCAGGAGTTAGGGGATCGAGTGGGTGAGAGTGGGGTACACGTGCCCGGAATGCCCTGATTTTCCACGTGCGCGATCATGAGGGCGGGCTATGCTTGTAGTTGGGATTGTGTGGGATAAGCTGGCAGCTGCGGATCTGTGAGGGCCTCGGGTCTTTAGCCTCCAGCTCCCGAGGTTCCGTTTCCCCTACGTGGAGAAAAAGCGCGTTCTGGCCCCTGAACCTGCCTTGTGTGGACTTGAGTCTCGTGGGCCCACCGCTGCGCCCGGGGCTGCGGGTTGCGGGCGGCGGGGGGGACCTTGCCTGTTGCCCTCACCCAGCTGGAAGTCCTCGGGCCTCCCCCGCCTGCCCCGGTCTCGGTCTCTCCGGGAACCGGTTTCCCAGGTTGGGAGGTGTCCCCACCCCGTTCAACCTGAGGCTCGACTGCCCCTGGGGAACAAGCCGGCCCCGGCTGCACGCGGCTCGAACCGGGCACGCAGAGCCCGAGGACTGAAGGGCAGCCTTTGGGTTCACTTGGCTCTTGGCTGTTTGTTGAATAAAGCTTTCTTGCTTATTTTTCACATCGTGTGCTACCTTAAGCCTATTCGAGCCCCTGAGTGGAAGGGGCTGAAAGTTTTAAGGCTCAGCCTCTCCTGAGAGGGTCGGTGCCTTGATGCGATCTACTTGTAGTCCTCGGGGAGTGGTGATGCTAGAGCCTCGCCTTGCAGGGAAACAGGAGTCCTCGTGGGAGTTGCCGCCTGCGAGGTGGGGTGGGCGTGCTGGCTGCGAGCGCGGCTGCGGCTTGCCCCGCGCAGCCTTTTCCACTTCTAACCTGTTATTTGGGGAGGAGGGCGGAGCTATTGCCTGCTGGCCTTAAGCCGGCTTCTCCTATTGGAAAAAAGTTGAAATTCTAATCTACTTGTTGTGGACGCCTCATTTTCAAAGTTTCTTTCTAGGTAAGAAGCCTAGGCGGGCCGTTATTCTTTGCCTTCCTTTTTTTAAAGCTTTGAATGGACTCTTCTGAAAAGTTTTCCCACATTCAGGGCTGAATGTTTCTAGCAGATTCTTTCAAAAAATGGATTGAGGTAAAAGAGATCTGAATCCCAATCCCGGGAATGGGAAGAGGGAATCAATTCACTGGGAAGTTTAGTGTCAAGGGGGAGAGGGCACCTCGAATCCGCCCTCCTGGCAGGGGCGTAGATGGAACCCTCCCTCAAAGCAGTTGAGTTTAAATGTCAGGTTTTATTTATATTCCAGTTAAAGATCCTTATACGTTTTATTTGGGTTAAAACAGTACATGCTCAGTGTTGCCAGACTTGTAAAAGGTTTATATACTTTTCAAATTATAAAACCATTCAAATGGTATGGGAGTGTGTGAAGTGAGCGGTGTTCCCCTCACCCTGGGAGGTACCTGGATGCCCTGAACATTTCTTTTCTTTCTTTTTTTTTTTTTAACATTTCGATTTTTTAACGTGTGCAGTTCTGGTGAAGTTGTTTGGTAGAGGCATTAAGATACTACCCTGTTAAACCAGCTATCCTTTAAAAACATGAAATTTTCTCAGTTTTGAGCAAAACTCTACTCCCCCTGCCCCCTGTTGGTTTTAATTTAAAGAAGAAAACTTGGAAATTAATTTTTAGAGCTTTTTAATCCTTTCTGGGTTTGGAATGTTACCGAATTTAAGTTTAAAGGGACAGCCCAGGGCTGTGAATGAGAAAGTCAGATGTTCGGAGGAAAAGCACCTGGTTCACCCAGGGGGTCCCAGCCCGGGCCTAAATTCTTTCTCTCCTTCCAAGGGAGTGATCCTTAATAGTTTAGGAATGATGTGCCTTTAGAAAGCCCTTTTTCCGATTGGGAAAAGAGCCTGAGGTCACTGTAGGAGATGACCGCCTTGTTCTCTGATAGTGATGAAATGAATGTCTAAATCCGTGTGGTTTTCAATGGGTACAGTCTGCTTCGATTTTTGAAATGTGCTGTTCTTCTGAGTTGCTCCGGTGTCAGCAGGCTCCATGAAATAATTCAGCGTGCCCTTGTCTTACGGTGACTGATGCCACCTGACCTTGGGCAGGGGGTCCCCCACGCCTGGCTCTTCCCCTGTAATTTTAGGGAGAGTGCGTCAACAGTTGGCATTTAGGAGGGTAGCCGGTCGGGTCTCTTCCCCCAGACTCTGTTCCTTAAGCATCCCCGCCAGCGTGACAAGATGGTTCTCTTGAGCTTTGGTTTAAAACAACCGGAAAACCTAAAAGAAAGAAGCTGGGTTTTCCAACGGAATGAAGGTTGCTTCCTCCTCCTCTGTATTTGGTCCAGGTGAAAAACGAGAGTTTGGGTTTTTCGCCTCGGTGGTGGTCAGTCCAAAAGGCCTGCTGGCGGGCGGCCTGGCGGGGAATGGGGCGGGGGGTGGGTGGTCGGCGCCCCGGGACCGCTGGCCGCGCGCCTCCCGCGGGGGCCGGGGAGAGGCGGACGGAGGCGGCTCGACCAGCCCGGAGCCGGTCTCCGCCAGCCGGACGCGGCGGGGCCGAGGCAGGGTCTGGTCTGCACGCATCTGCGGGGAGAGCTGGGGAGCTGATCGGAGCCGGAGCGCGCGGCTCCCGTCGTCACGAGGTGTCCTTTAATGCTGTGTTGCTTGCACGTGGGAAGCAAGCCCTGCCTTGGCCGCCTCGGAGGCGACACTGGGGGCAGAAAGTCTGTGTGTGTGTTCAGGGCCGGGCGGCAGCGCTCTGTAAATGGGAGAAGCTGAGTGGGGTCTGAGCCTGTTCCGGTCCCCGGAAAGGCCTTGTCACTTGGGAGCAGGGCAGGGGTGACCCAGTTGCCATCTTGAGCTGAGGGTTTCTTTGTAGACCCCGAAGATGGCAATGTTGGTTCCCAGTTAGGTGGGAAGTGGGGGTGGATTTTCCTGAGTCTCTTGGATGGAAAATGGGATGAAGGGAATGATGCAGTTTATTTCTGTGTCTGTGTGTAACAAACTCCCTGAAAGATAGGTTCTAGAATTCCAATTCAATATGACCCTAAATGTTGACCCCAAATATTGAGGAAACCACTCTTCAAAAATCAGCCCCAAACACCCTGGAGAAAGAAGGTTTGCTGCCTAAAATAATTGATTGTGGAATGTACTCCTGTATCTTAATTTGAATAAGTTCCTGTGAATGGGGATTGTACCCGAATTGGCATCAATATATTTTATTCTATATTTACAGAGGCCAAGTTTTCTCAGGCATGCGTCCCTTTGTGTTTTAAAATTATATGTGTGTGCCTCGTAAATTGTAAAATTCATAGTAAGAGGTTTTTTTGTTTAAGGACAAGAGTAAAAAATAAGTAAAAATGTGCATTCTAGTTGTTTCTGCTCCGCATCCTCAACCAGTTCGATAGGACTTGGTAGATGTATGTCTGCTTAGCACACAAATCTCGCCTATTCACTGGAAAATCAGACCTTCCATACCTTGGAAATAGTTGGAAGGTTCCTGCTTTGAATCCAGTTCAGCAGGTGGACATTTGTAGATTGAAATCTGTTGAATTACGAAAATGCTTGAGGAAAATGTCTGGGAGAGAAATGTTCACTATTGATTTCTCAATATGTTAGTTTTAAATATACTTTCTACACTGTGAACTTTAAAGAAAAATATTCACATGTGATCGGAGGAATGTGCCTGGTCTTCCATAAAATGCAGAGATGCGTTTCACCAACATGGCTCCCAGGCAAGTGGCTAGTTGGGCAAGCTGTGCTGATGAGGTTGCCTCACAGGCATGGCCGAGAGTCAGAAAGGATGCTGGTGATACTGAGGCTGTTGTGAAATCAGTGCTGTCTCTGGAGACTTAACGACCAGTTTTTCTTGCTAAGGAGTAAACACTAGTTTGGGAGTTGCATAGACTTGGTTTTGGTCTATAGGATCTTGATTTCCAATGCTAGGAATATATATTTTGCAAACAGTGAAAATATTTTAGGAAGAAAACGGGTACTTTCAGTTCGTTTGATAGCACTATACATTCTTTATGACTCAGTGTTTACAAGTTAAATAGTTGTAGGACTAAAGCAGTCTGAAAGTGTTTAAAGACTGAGTAAAATTGCCTTTTTCCATCCCAGCTTTCCTTCCCATTTTAGCTACTTATAAATGCTAATTCCAGGGAGTCCTTTTCAGATTTCAGGGCATTAAAACCAACATTAAAATGTAGAATTTCTTAGTTTCTCTGCACATGTAAAATTTTGAGCGCAACTGTTTCGCTTTTTATATTTTCATTAAAAAGAAAACTTCGCATATGTAGAAAGGGAATTAGCTTTGGAGGAAGCCATAAAGGAGGAGGTGAAATGGTTAAAATTCTTTTGTCGTTGAAGTAGTTTGCCAGGAGAA